TATTTATTAAAAATCTGAAATCTTAAAGATTAACTCTAATTTTAAAAGTCAAGTTTTGACCCCTTAGTTAACACATCCGGATAATCTTTTAAAACCCATTAACCCTTTCAAACTCCAGAATTTTCTTAATAGGATAATAAAATTCTCAACTAATCTATTAAAATCAGTAACTAACTCCTTTTAATATCAAGCCACTCTTTTAATTCCAACCAATTTAAATCAACTTAATCAACCCCGATTGCTACAATAAAGAATAAGAAATAAAGAAGAAGAGGTGAAAAGAGCTAAAAACGACAAGCGCGAACACTAGTATGGTGTAATATAGACACAACAGATGATTTGAATAAAGTCACATATCAAGAACAAGTATCCTTTGCCGCAGATTGACGACTTGTTTGACCCAGCCTTTCTGGTTTCTTCTGTGTTTTCGAACGATTGATTTGAGATCTGGTATTATCCACGTGAAGAGTTGAAGGAAAGCTTGATGTGGTTGAAAAGACAGTTTTCAGTACTGCGGTAAGCGACACTACGAGTTTTTGGTTATCGTGGCCTTTTGGGGTAACCATGCACCTGTTATTTTTATGATCTGATGAACAAAAGTCGTTCCAGGAAATACCTAGATCAGTTTTGTGATCAATCTTCATCGATCGATATTCTGCGTGTATTCTGCCTTCTAGAATGAATCATGCCAGACATTAGCCTTGTGTTGGAAGACTTTGAGATGACAATGTATCGCAAGTTCTCCAAGTGTGAATTCTGGCTGAAGAGCATTTCATTTCTGGGGCATGTGGTTAGCGGTGAAGGTATTTTTCTTGATCCCGCAGAAGATTCAATTGTTGCGGGTTGGCCAAGGCCTACTACGGTATTTGAGGTACGTAGTTTCTTAGGCATGGCTGGATATTACAGGAAGTTTGTAAAAGGATTTTTCACAGATTGCTACGGCTCTGACGAGACTGACTCAGAATGTCAAGTAGCTTTGTTTGGACACTGGAGTGTGAGGCTAGTTTTCAGAAGATTGAAGGATTGTCTGACTTCAGCTCCAGTGTTAGCACTTCCGTCAGGTACGGAAGGATTTTCAAGGTGTTCAGTAAATGCTTCAACTGAAAAGTTTGGGATGTGTGCTACATCAGCATGGTAGGGTAAATTGCTTATGCCTCGAGACAGTTAACCACATGAGAAGAATTACCGACACATGAATTTGGAATTACTGGAGTTATTTTGCTTTGAAGATTATGACGTTCAATCTTTGTATGGCGTCAGATGTGAGATTTTCACGGATCACACAGAGTTCTGAAGTACATTTTTTCACTTAGAAGGATCTGAATTTGAGGCAAAGAGGTGCTGAGTTGATCAAGGACAATTGTTGGTGAAATTGAAAACAGGTTGAAAAAATATTAGTTTCTTTGGGGATGTTTTAAGATTAAGGTTAAGTTCCAATTCTAAGGTCGAATCAACTCGTTAGAAAGGTATATCACCCGAGATTAAAATAAACTATTTTTTTTTTTTTTTCATAACGGTGTCAGCACTCACGAATTATGTAACTCCATCTTGAATACTATGATCGGTCTAAGAAGAACTTTATACTGGCCCCAAGGGGACAAAGTATAGTTCAACTGCAGTACCAATTACAAATTCAAGAAACATGATCATCGCATTCACATCCAGAGCTTATCGATAAAAGGTGTATCTCCCAAAGGAATGAAGACCATTCAACGATAATCCTGTCTAATGCAACCATGATGATCATTATTTCAAACTTTTTTCCAAAGAAATCTAATGAAGTTTTAGAAATTGAGTTTTCTTTGAAATCAAGGTGTGTGTGGGGTTCCAAATCTCCTACGAGCGCAAGCCCATCGTAGTAATTACATCGTAGGGCGAAAAATCTCCTACGAAAACATCTCGATTTAAAAATAAAATGGCAGAATTTTGTTTAGAGTTTCTAGAGTGAGTAATCAAAGTATGAATAGAATTATTGGAAAATCAAAAGGGATATGGACAAAATTGAGCAGTTATTAACAGAGTTAAAGAATGAGAGGCTAGGAGACACTTTGAGATCAAGAACGCATGCGGAAGTGTCTCAACTTAATCTAAGTGTTGGGCTTTATGTTGGACTGAAGATATTTAATTAGAGTTGAAGCAATTTTATTAGAAAATTTGGATCAGATTCCCGAAGTTATGGGGTCTTATAATCAAGATCTGCCCGCCGGATCCTAAATCTATTCTGGACACTTGGACCAACAGTCGTCCCGATCCTAAACTAATGCCGTGCAAAACCTGGACTTACCCCGGCCTGGATTGGGGAGCCAGCTAACCACCTAAACGATTTAAATCATGAATCCGGTCTTTTATGAAAGAGTGATAGGGAAACGTTATAATAAAGTTTTGATGAGGCGGGCGGACATCTAGAGATTTCCTAATTGGCCCCTTTGACTTATGTTGGGTGCTAAGAAAATGCCTAAAGGACTATGCATTAAAATTTTGACCTTTAATTTGTATCTAGTGCAATGCAGATGCTAGTATAACGACTTCTATCAATAGTATGCTTGAAATTTTAAAAATCAGGCTTAGAAAATAATTTTTTAGAAGATCTGGACTTCCCAGGTCCGGCATTCCTCGTCCCCATAAGGTAGACTTTCCGGACTCTACCGCGCTAGGCGGGGAAGGGTCTTATAAACAAGAAAGAGAAGTGCAGAGAATATGCCATGCGACCCCGGTCGATCCCGGCTAATTCCTAGATTCGTTATACTTTCTATGTTGTTAAAGAACTCACATAAAATTAGACGATTTAAGGTTATGAGTAGAAAACTTTTCACACCCTCATCGAGTCTCACGTATCCAGGCGAAAACAAAAAGGGCATACCAATCGCCAAACCCAAACTAGTAACAAGCAAGTAATCCTAAGGCAATCAAGATCATCACATCAAATATAATTAATTTAATAAATCCAAGGCAGAATTGCCCTTGCTTATTACAAACCAGAGTTTTGGCAGAAAGTAAAAGTGGCCGGGCCCACTGACAAACAACCCGGATTCTAAACCCTAGTAATGACGCAAGCTTTATTTTGAGTGGGTGATAAACTCTCAATCTTCAAAATCTTCAGATCTTCATCTTGTTCTTCTTTGGCCGTCCTTTTTCTTCAATCTTCTGCGGAATCTTCGTAGTGGATTACCAAATGGAATGAGAGGGCACTCTCCTCTTAAGGGGGAGCCTTTTTTCTCTTTGGGTAAGGAGGAGGTATGATCCAATTTGGATTCCAAATGGAAAAGGAGTATTACCCTAAGGGGTATCCTTTCCTCTTTGGAAACTCCAAGCTTTGGATCTATGTATCCCAACTCAAAATCACTTTCACAACACTTGACACTTTCCACAAATTACATTAATATCAAAATAAAATCTAGACTCACCTGCAGGGTTAATCTAGCAATTAATATATAAAAAGCACGTTATTCCTAAGCAGTTGTATATGAGCAGAAAAGAAATAAACACACTGGCCACGCTCTTTATGGATTTGGGGGAGCTTTCAGCATCTGAAGCACCTGTTCGCAAAGAGTTTATAATATTTTATGGCATTTTTTAATTTGCCCTTTTATTTGCTCCTGTCATGAGCGTGGCCACCTGCAGAAACTGTGTCAACACTCCAGATCGTACCTAACCTAAGGGTAATCTAGTCGCCAAAACACCATCAATCCATCACAGAGTACAGAAAAAGTAAGGCAGACACAGCAAAGCAATTTCATCCACAACATGCAGTGAAAACTACGAAAAACCCGGCAGCAACAGCAGTAAAAGTAACACCGGCCTACCTATGATGCTAGAGTTAGTTGTCCTAGCACATCATCTAGTGTGTGAGAAAGGTTGTGTGGCGGGGTAGACCCTAAAGGTGGGTTTTAATTGAAGTTGTCTTTAAAAGTCTGGTTTGTTAAGGTTCAAAAGGGATTTAGATTAGATATTAAGTATTAGTTAGATTAAGGATTTTAATTAAAATCCATATTTTAAAAGTTAACTTGCTTGCTCCTTGTTTCACACCGAGGCCCGTCGAAGTTTTATTTCACCTTCTTGGGGCTAAGCTAATAGCCTCGTAGGCCTGGGTTAACCCAGATT